AGTCAGAGGATACTTTGTTATCAACGAATCCATTTGAATCCGGTCGTTGGATGAATCTGGGCAGATCCGGATTAGGCTCACTGGGTGATTTTGGATTAGCTCATAAAAGGACTACTGGAAAAAAAATTAAACATTAATATGTGTTCAGTTTGATACAGAAAGTATAACTTGCGTGTTCGGGCGCCGATGGCTTCAATATATGGAGATTACTGGAGGAATAATGATTTTCGTTGTGTATATTGCGACCGCTACTAACTACAGGTTTACCACAAACACTGTACACGTCACTCCATCACAATAAGTGACCCTCCATTGACGACACCGCAAGATTCCAGGCGGACATCAACCAAATAATCTTTAAATGGGCCGCAGAAAATAATATGAAGTTCATTTATGAGAAATTTCAATTACTCCAATAAGGAAAACATGGGGAAATTAAAACTATATCGGATTATAAAACAAATTCCAACCACACAATAGAGCAAAAAACTAATGTAAAAGACCAAGGAGTGATCATGTCAGAGGATCTCACCTTCAAAGTCCATAACATTGTATCTGCTAGAAAAATGACAGGATGGATAATGAGAACCTTCAAAACTAGGGATGCCAAGCCCATGATGACACTCTTCAGGTCGCTTATTCTATCTAGGCTGGAATATTGCTGCACACTAACAGCACCTTTCAGGGCAAATGGAATTGCTGACCTAGAAAGTGTACAGAGAACCTTCACGGCACACATAACTGCGAGAAAACACCTAAATTACTAGGAACGCTTGCAGTTCCTCAACTTATACTCCCTAGAACACAGGCGGGAGGGATACATGATTGTATACACTTGGAAAATCCTAGAGGGATTAGTACCAAACTTGCGCACGAAAATCACTCCTTATGAAAGCAAAAGACTCGGTAGACAATGCAATATCCCTCAATGAAAAGCAGGGGTGCCATTAGCACGATAAGAGAAAACACACTAAATGTCATTGGCCCAAGACTGTTCAGCTGCTTTCCAGCATACATAAGGAGGATTACCAACAGACCCCTGGCTGTCTTCAAGAAGGCGCTGGACAGGCACCTAAAGGGAGCTGTCGGGGAAAAAATTGTAGCTCTTTTGTTTACCATCCGATTTCCTCCAGTTTTGGTGCACAAGACAAAGTGTTTTCACACCATGTAAAAAATATTTGTCAAAAATATACTTCAAACAACAACTGAGAAAAGACTGAAAAAGGACTGATTTACAGAAAATGCCCTTTGGCAGGAAGGTAGTCCTACATGGGATGACGTAAGGTTGTTTGGACACTTGGTGCCGAGAGAACAATGCTAATACTAATTTTCCGCAAAGCCTTTCCTCTAAATAACTCATCTTTATTTCGCAAAAAAATGAAGTTTGTTAGTTCTTGGAATGTTGAAAAAATCTGCCCTTTACTCCCACATAAATCCCAAAGTATTTGGAATATTTCCAAAATTCCCTCTGCATAAATTAGAGAAATCATTATTTTACCATTTCTGTGAATATTATTCTACTTAATTAAGTAATAAAGGCGTACCTTAGCGAAATAAGTGAATAAGTTACTTCCGAGATATTGGCCTGGAGCTCCGGCCGGCCCACCGTCTCAAAAAAAAAAAATAGCGAAAATCGCGTTTGTTTCGGTGTATTTCTTAGCAAACTGATGCTCTAGTGCAGTTATCCTCTTCAAAACACCGTTTTCTCTTACTCAGGGACCAAAGAATACGACATGAGAGGATTCACTCATTTACATCGAAATATTCCCGATGGTCTCTCGCCATATTACGGCTTATTTTATTCAGTCTAGAGTATATAACATGTTTGTATATTATTTAAAGTGTTTATTATATCATATTGATCAATTCTGATAGATAAATAAGCCGTAGAGTTGATATATAAGCTGATATAAGCGTAATAATGAAGTGATTTCTCCTGGCACTCTCTAGAGCGGGAACACTGCCGAGCGTTCCCATATGGTTCTTGGTTGTCTCTAAGTCTACGGATAAGCTCCGCCTACTGTTTTATGATGCCAAATAGTCAGTTATTATATTAGAAAGAATAATGCAAGAAAAAGCGATAAAAAGCAAGGAAAAAATTCCAAAATATATGGGCTGTGAGCAGACGCGCTACCCAAATCGCCGTCACAATACCTGATATAAATGACTATAATTTCTTGTAGAAACGTCGTAGAACATTCATTCTGGTATCATTGTGTTGCCATAGAGTTAAGCTATTTTTCTATATATATATATATATATATATATATATATATATATATATATATATGTCGTGCCGAATATGTAAAACTGGTCAATTAGCAAGAACTCATTTAAAATTAAGTCGTTTCTAAAATTTTCTCTTATACGTTTAAAGATATATTTTTTTCATTAATGTTAATGTAAAAATTTTTAATTTTGCACCAAAAGAATCTTAGAAAACTTACCTAACCTTATTATAACAAGAACAATTTATTTTAGCCTAACCCAACTATGTATATTTTAGATTTGTTTACAATAATTTAATACTAAACAAACACAGTGAAATATATTTTTTTCGTTAGGTTCAGAATGATTTTGGCGAAATTATTGCATACACAAATTTTCGCTTGTCCTATATGGCAAGATGAGCGTTGCTATTTAAGCCAAGAACGCAAGTTCTGCCTATTCGGCACGACATATATATATATATTAATATATATTATATATATATATATATAATATATATATTATATATATATATATATATAATATATATATATATATATATATATATATATATATTATATATATATATATATATATATATATATATATAGCTTAATTTCCATATTTTTTCGATTTATGTTAAGCGCGCGCGGAAATTTGCCCTACAGCCCTACAGGGGGCTGTATCAGAATTTTCCGCGCGCTCACAAAAAAAAAAATCGAAAAATTATGGAAATTGAGTTATTTATACAGAAAATAGCTTAAGTCTTTGGCAACACAATGGTACAAGAATCAATGTTCTACGACGTTTCTACAAAAAATTATAGTCATTTATATCAGGTATGGTGACGGCGATGTGGGTAGCAAGTCTGCTCACAGCCCATATATTTTTTGGAATTTTTCCTTGTTTTTTATCGTTTTTTTTTGCATTATTCTTTCTAATATAATAATTGACTATTTGGCATCATAAAACAGTAGGCGGAGCTTATGCGTAGACTTAGAGCCAATTAGGCACCATATGGGAACGCTCGGCAGTGTTCCCGCTCCAGAGAGTGCCAGGAGAAATTACTTATTATTACCCTTATATCAGCTTATATATCAACTCTACGGCTTATTTATCTATCAGAATTGATCTAATATGATATAATAAACACTATAAATAACATACAAACATGTTCTATACTCTAGACTGAATAAAATAAGCCACAGTATGGCGAGAGACCATCGGGAATATTTCGATATAACTGAGTTACTACTCTTATGTCGTCTCCATGTCGTATTCTTTGGTCTCTGAGTAAGAGAAAACGGTGTTTTGAAGAGGTTAACTGCACTAGAACATCAGTTTACTAAGAAATACACCCAAACAAACGCGATTTTCGCGAAAAAAAAAAAAAAAAATTCGAGACGGTGGGCCAGCCGGCGCTCCAGGCCAATATCTCGGAAGTAACTTATTCATTTTACGGTACATCGTCTGCCTTTATTACTTAATTAAATGTAATAATATTCACAGAAATTGTAGAATAATGATTTCTCTAATTTGCAATTATTCATTTTTGAAAATATTCTAAATACTTTGGGATTTATGTGGAAGTAAAGGGCGGATTTTTTCAACATTCCAAGAACTAACAAACTTTATTTTTTTGCGAAATAAAGATAAGTTATTTAGAGGAAAGGTACTAATTACAAATTCATATAAGCATTGTTCTCTCGGCACCAAGTGTCCAAACAACCTTACGTCGTCCCATATAGGAAGAAATCGCCCCCCAAGGGCATTTTCAGTAAATCAGTCCTTTTTCAGTCTTTTCTCAATTGTTGTTTGAGGTATATTTTTGATAAATATTTTTTACAAAGAGTGAAAACACTTTGTCTTGTGCACCAAAACTGGAGGAAATCGGACGGTAAACAAAAAAGCAACATTTAAAGCTCTCACGGCCCCCTAAGTCAGTACCTGACCAGCCGGGCTGTGGTTCATATGCTGGGTTGCGTGCAGCCAACAGTAACAGCCTGGTTGATCAAGCCCTGATTTACCATGAGGCCTGGTTACAGACCGGGCCGCGGGAGCATTGACCCCTCGAAACCCTCCCCAGGTATACTCCAGGTACTGATCTGGAATATATTGATCTTTACCCATAACTTGAAATGATTAGACCATTGATGAGAAATTGCAAAAAGAAATAATGAGTATATGTTTCGCCTCAACTTCCTGACATTGAAATTTCCGATAACCTAGACCTGTGTGAATACTGTTCCCATTAGATTAGTTAAGGACAGTGTGCAGCCTAGTGTCAGTCCTACCCCGAAAGAGGAACATATGTATCCACTGATGATTTAGAAAGACGGTTGTGTTAGCTCCCGCATAACGTTCCAAACTGTCCTGGGCTAAAATTAAGTCACAGCTTGACAATGCTGTGACTTGATAATGGTGTGTGACGGACTAAAACCTCGTCGTAAGTTTTCCATATTTGTCAATTGTTCCAGCCACGGCATTCTGACTTTTATTCTTCAGGTATGTTAGTGTAACAGTTGTCTTTATATCTCTTTAAAGGTACAGCAGGATATGTTGACATATTTTAGAGACTGTAAGAAGATCACAATAACTTCTTTGCTATCGCGAAGGCCCTGAAGGGTGTTATAATGAGTATAATGTATCTATTCTCGAGCTACACTAGGAAGTCATTATAGACTCGTGGGACAGGAAGAGAGGTTAAGATCTTTGTATCTTACCTTTGTATTACTGAGTGGCATAAACAGAGCCACGAGGAACACCACCAGCAGAACTGAGAAGCTCTTTACCTTGGAATTAGTGAAAGGCATGAAGAGAGCCATGATGAACACCGCCAGCAGAGGTCCATCCACGGAGGAGGTGACAGCGATGGCTGCCTGAAGAATCCCACCCAGGTTCCCCGCCAGGAAGGCCAGACCCACCGCCAGGAAGCCGTAGCCCAGGGCTGAGGAGGATACACTTACAAGCTCGGAGGAAAAATACAAATATTTATGTTAGAGTAAGGAGCCAGTAGAAGCCCAGTCTTGTTATAATTCTATCAAAATCGGTAAAAATAGTTTAAAATACTACTGAAATACTGCAGTGGACGGAAAGAAGAGAGTGAAATTGCAAGGACAGTGCATGCACACTGAGAGGTATGTATGTCAATGAATGTATAATGAGAGGTGTATCTCAATGTATATATACTCCGTTTAATTGCGAACTCTGCTAGGGACTAAAAAATAATGTAATATCCAGAGTATACCTGGAGGGGGTTTCGGGGGTCAATGCTTCCGCGGCCTGGTCCGTGACTAGGCCTGTTTGATACATATGAAAAGGCCAGCCCTAGTAATCCTGAGAAGAATTAACCCTAAGCAAGGTCTCAGAAGTCAATGTTGTGGTCTGTTTTTCTTTTTAGTAGTAGAAATGGAATCCATATGACCGTTAGGCTAGCGGATAACTGTACCAGTACGTCAGAGACTCTCTAGATCTGCAATTTCACTGCTTTGAATGGAGATGTTAATGTACAGCAGTATTCCAGCCTAGAGAGAACAAGTGATTTGAAAAGGATCATCATTGGCTTGGCATCTCTCGTTTTGAACGTTCTCATTGTCCATCCTATCATTTTCTTTGCACTTGTGATCGTGGCACTGTTGTGATCCTTGAAAGTGAGATCCTCAGACATTACTACTCCCAGGCCCCTTACATTATTTTTCCGCTCTATTGTATGGTTAATGGGTGAACATGGACAACAGGTCTAAGGAAACATACCCAATGTTTCTACCTCTGCTGGGAATCGAACCAAGACCTCAGCGTGTGAAGTGAAAACTTTGTCTACCAGGCCACGAGAGGTGAGTAGTAAACCATACCACGGGTGGGGTTTGATCCCGAGGTCAGAGAGTCTCAAAACTCCAGATCGTCGCGTTTGCCACTGGACCAGCTAGCCACAATAAGATTCGTCCAACTAGGTATATTTCTACACCATAGGAAGGTTAGCATGGGCACCACTGTGACCACAAAGGCAAGTTTGTGGCTAGGTGGTCCAGTGGCTAACGCGACGGTCTGGAGTTTTGAGACTCTAACCGCGGGATCAAACCCCACCCGTTGTATGGTTTGTTTGCAATCGTGTCTTTAGATTTGGGAGTATATTTTTTGTACAAGTCAGGGCGGTGGGTTGCCTGGCTACCACCCTACATAATAATACTTTTTAAAGCACCCCCAAGAGCGAAAAAAAGCTATGCGTACCTTATTATTTATTTAAATATTTGAAACTCTTAAGTAGGGCGGGTTACCTAGAAAATACCTGGAAGGTTTTCGGGGTAAACGCTCCCCCGGCCCCGGTCGGCCCGGGCCTCGTGTGGATCAGGGTCTGATCCCCCGGGCTTTTATTGCTGGCGACGAAACCCGACGTCGAACCACCCCCCGGTGACGGGTACTGACTTTAACCCCCCCGTTCAGCCCTTCTTAAGACAGCCGGGGGTTGTGGAAATCCCCCTTAGTATGCGGGGGAGGGGGTTGAACAGTCCTGGGGGCGCCACACTAATGTGTTTCTTCAGTGTACTCTGGCCCCCCTGTTTTTTCTTTGCGGGAATGTTCATCTCCTGCCGAGTCTTTTTTTTATAGGGAGTTTTTTCTTGCAATTTTACAAATCCCTCTAAAATTTTTCCAAGGTGTGGTAGCATCCCCAACTACCACACCTCCACGAATATACGACATTTAAAGCACCCCAAATGATAAAATATATATGCTGTGTAAAAAGCAGATGTGGTAGCTCGCAGGGTACCCCCTTCACATAATACCACCATTAAAAACCCGGGGGGTTAGTTGCTCTTTCTTTCTTCTTTTTCCTTCTTTTTTTTTTTTATTAATTATTATTTTTATTATTATTATTATTATTATTTTTATTATTATTTATTATTATTATTATTTTATATATTATATTTTTTATTATTTTTAAAATTATTATTTTTTTATTATTATTATTATTACACTAATATACTACTATACTAATATATATACACTAAAAACTACAATACAACTCTACAAACACACAATATAACTACCATCAAAATTACCCTGTTGCGGTTGATTGGGTTATTTAAGTTTTCCAACATTGTCAAAATTTAAAAAAATTTTTATTTAAATGTTTACCTCACCTGAATAAATTTTATTACCCTTTTTTTTTTTTTAGTTTTGCCCCAAATGAATTTTTTAATAAAAAAGTGCTAAACCAAACAGGCAGGGTTCTCATTTTTAGCCCATGACCACCAACCCCAATTTTATAAAAAAATCGGGGGACCATTTCTTTTTTGAAATATATTAAAGGGCAAAGCAAAACAACCGAAATTTTATTTGGGAAATAGTTCTTTTAAAAAAATTGAAATTTTAATTAAAAATAAATCCAACATTTTCTAAATATAATTTCATAAAAAATAATATCCTGAAATAAAGAAACATGCAAATTTGCTGAAATTTCTTTCAAACGAATATAACTTTGAAATTATAAGTCAGAGCCAACATTTTTCTTTAAAATGATTATTTTCCACTTTTCCCTTTAAAAAACTTTTGGATTTTCTTCCATGGCAAGTTTTAGGTTTAGGAGGATATGATAAGCAAAAATTCTTTTTCAACGCAAAGATTCATCATTTGGAGAAAGGGGAAAAAAAGAAAACCACCTAACAGAAATTATAAAGGCAAAAGAAACTGTGCATTGGGTTGAAAATTTTGGGTGTTTGCTAACTGGAAAATTTTTCCATGGTTTGCCGTGTCTTTCTTTAGCTGCCAACATTTTTTCAGGTCCAAGAACTCCTCCCAATGCCTCCGGCCCTGGGCATCTGTTAAAAGGGTTCCTGATGAAAAAAACCCCATCCCCTCGTCATGTCCCCTCCGAAAAGTATCGCTGAATTCATCCCGAGCTTTGTAAATGCTCCAGATTTCGAATCTGAATGGGCCCGTTTTTCCCAGTAATGAATCCACACTGGGAAAATGAACAAAAAAATTTTCCTTTGACCCTTCCCATCCAAGTTTTAATTTCCAAAAAAAGCCTTGATGATTCCTTAGTGAAAAAACAGATTTGCTTCTTTCCTTTGCAGCTGAAGATTCAGTTGTTAAGATACCAAAAATATCGACAAAATATACTATTTAATTCAAAGCTCTAATACCTTAAAACCTTTTTTCCCTTTAGCTGGAGAAATAGAAACATTTTTCTCCAGATCAAAAATTCGTTGACAAAATTCCCTGCGACAACACCGCAGAAGTGTAGAACGCAACCCCCAAGTCGAAAACCCCGTCCGCATAATTTTCGAACAGCTGGTTATAGTCTTTGGTTTCCAATGGGAAACACGCCGTTTCACAAACGCTTTTAAAGCCTAATCTTGACCTAGCATCGCAGGTGCACCATCGTGGGAACCCCCCAAAATTTTTCCAAACCAGCCATTTACTTTAAAGAAATTGTTAAAATTTCTAACACTCCTGAGCCTTTAGTGGTTCAAGATCTTCAAAAAAGAAACTCGTCTTTTAAGTCTCCCTCAGCCCGTACATGCAAAAAAAGTGAAAGACAGTGAGAAAACCGTTATTCATCCAACTGTTGGCAAACAATGGAGAATTTATTTTCCAACTTGTTCACTGATTTTTTTGTGAAATCTCATTTTTCCGTCTCGACCTGTGTTTTTAAAACTGATATATCATTCAGTTTTTCCCTGCTGCGTCCTCACCCACAACAAACCTCACCTTCTTTTTCTCAGGGTACACAAGTTTCTCTACAATCGTATGAGGCTTCTTGGGCCCGGGACGTTGTAAGCGACATTGTAGGAAGCGCGACTGCATTGGTGTTTTTTTTTTTCTAGAATGTCCTTCTGTAAGGGCTGCGCTTGAAAAGTAATAATGGGCCGTTCGAAAAAATCTTTATCCTTTGCAACAAATTGGGGTGGCATTTCGAGATGGGGGTTAAGCTTAGCCGGGTTCAATAGCATTCCCCAAAACTTTGAAACAAAAACACACCTGGTATTTTCCTGCCCAAATTTTTTGACAGGGGAAGCCGAATTAAAGTTTGTTTTTGAAAACTTCCCTTACATTCTTTTTGCCATTGCCATATATCTTATCTGTGGACAAATAACGACATATATTTTTTTATTTTTGAGTTTTGCATTAATAAAGTATGAAAAAAAAAATAAAAACCATGCAATAATAAAACCCACACTCTAAAACAGCATAAAAAAGCACAAAACAGCAGCACAAACAACACACAGACACACAAAGCACCGCAGCACAAACAAGACACACGCACAAAACAACCACGCAGCACAACCAACAGCACAACACAACACGCACAGCACAACACAAGGCAGCACAACACAAAACCACAGCACAAACACCCCACAACACAACACAAGCAAACAACACAGCAGCACAACCAGCAGCACAACACAACACAACACACAACACAGCACACACCAACAACGCACACAACACAGCAGCACAACCAACACCAGCAGCACAACACAGCACACAGCAGCACAACACAGCACACAGCAGCACAACACAGCACACAGCAGCGCAACACAGCACACAGCAGCACAACACAACACACAGCAGCACAACACAGCAGCACAACACAACACACAGCAGCACAACACAACACACAGTACACAACAACGCACACCAGCAGCACAACACAGCACACAGCACATAACACAACACACAGCAGCACAACACAGCAGCACAACACAACACACAGCAGCACAACACAGCAGCACAACACAGCAGCACAACACAACACAAAGCAGAACAACACAGCAGCACAACACAGCAGCACAACACAACACAGCACACAGCAGCATAACACAACACACAGCAGCACAACACAGCACACAACAGCACAACACAGCACACAGCAGCACAACACAACACACAGCACACAAACAACACACAGCAGCACAACACAACACACAGCAGCACAACACAACA